GGGGCTATAATCTCTACCTAAAATGGATATTGGAAGAATTAAATGGACAAATATATGTAAAGTGCCTGACAAAGTCAAGTAAGGAGTATCTTACCATCAGGCCTGGGGACACATGTCTGTAATCCCCTGCAATTTAGGAGGCTAAGGCAGGAGGATCCCAAGTTCAAGGCTAGCATGGCCAGTTAAATAGGACCCTCAGCAATTTAGCAAGAACTTCTCTCAAAACAGAAAAAAATGGGGGGTGAGGGTGGCTGGAGATGTAGCCTAGTGGTAAAGTATCTCTGGGTTCAATCCCCAATACCACCCCCCCCATACACACACACACACATACACACACACACAAAGACTAGCTTACACCCACAGAAATACATATCAATTAGACAAAGGTTTAGGCAGGATACCTCCATGTGAGGGTCAGGTTACAGGTCTGGGATACAAACCTCCCCAAACTCCTTGAAAAAAGCTTGTAGTCCGTATCTGAGGGAAGTACATAGATAAGTATCCCAGCAACCATGACCCAGATGGGATACTCTGAGGCATATTCTTTACCACCTCTCAGAGTTATCAGAAAGATTAAGTTCTAAGCTATCCTTGATAATAATTTGTTTGATATACTATCTTTTTTTTTCTTTGAGGCAGGGTCTTGCTAAGTTACCTAGGCTATCCTTGAATTTATGATCCTCTGCCTCTGACACCATACTGCTGCTTCAGCTAAATACATTTTAGAGATCATTTCACTGTACTACATGTTATCCCTTTTTCGTACCATATTGAACCAGACTCTTAAAACTGTCCTTTGTCTCAGTATAAATGTGCATGAGCACATGCATTACACACACATGCACACTACTCTGTATTAATTTTCTATGCTGCATAAAAAAATTATCGCAAATTTAGCAACTTAAAACCACATATATTTATTATCTTACATTTTCTCCAGGTTAGAAGCCCAGGACAGCTTAGATCTATCCTCTACTCAGGGGTTTCACCAGACTCCAAATAAAGTGTCAGCTGGTTCCATGTTCTTGTCTGGAGCTCAGGGTTCTCCTCTAAGCTCATATGGTTGTTTGGAAGAATTCAATTCCTGTGGGTGTGGGACTGAGATCCCTCTTCTATTTTTGGCTATAGGTAGCTTTCAACCTAGAGGCAGCCACAAGTTCCTTGCTATGTGGCCCTCACCATCATGCAGTGTACTTCTTCAAAGCCAGCAGGACAATTTCTCTCTGGTCTGATCTTCTATAACATGATGCAATCAGGGAGTGTCTAGCCTGTTACTGTAGTCATATTCTATTGGCCAGAAGCATGCACACCTACTGCATTTGAGTGTAATAAACTTATCTGAAAGTTTTAAACAAGATGGAAACTGTTATTAAATTTTCTTCAGCTCCCTACCTTGTTGCTCTCTCATCAAATGTCTTCATTTCTCTCCTCTCTGCTCTTTCCCCAACCCCAAATCATTTATTTCTAATGCAGAACAATTTATCTCCCTTTACTTCCTTTATTTTATCCCTTTACTCCTTACACTCAAGGCCTCACCTTCTCCATCTGGCATATCAAGATTTTTTTTTCTTTTTTCTAAAGAAAATTTCCTTTCTTGGGAATTTCGGTGTCACTTTTTGGAAGATTTTTTTTCTCTGTCTTTTTTTTTTTAACCAAAGATTATTTACAATTTGGTGAAAGAGACAGATATGACTCAATAATAGCAGGAAGTAACTGAAGGAGAGGAAGAGGAGAGTGCTAAATATAAAAATAACTACTGATGTGATGGTGTTAGTAAGTGCAATTCTAAAACCTCTCTAGTAGTATTATCATTCTTCCCAGGGCCTAGATTTGGACAAACAGACTTCGCTGGGGATGCTCTTACATCTGAGGGTAGTTATTAGAAATTGGTGTGTGTGGACCAGTGTAAATCTACATCATGTACGACAGTAAGAATGGGATCCTAATTAGAATAAATTATGTTCTGTGTATGTATAATATGTCAAAATACACTTTTCTGTCATGTATATCTAAAAAGAACAAATAAAAATTTTAAAAAAGAAATTGGTGTGGTGTTTCACCTTTTCTTGCTTTCTACTTTTAAGTAACTTTATCTTTTCTTTTATAGTTTTGTTTGTTTTTTTAAGTAACTTGAGAGTCTAGATCCATCTGTAGACAGCAGATCAACTCTGGGCGCATTACTTAGACTGCTCATCCCTTGTCCTTCTTTACAAAAATGGATAAATTGGACAAGGCCGTCTCTTGCTGTAGAGTGAATCTACTGCTCTGTGATTTTCCTACCACTCCTACCAGACCTTCAGCTTGTAGAAGACAGATCTTGCTTTTATAATTCCCCAGCCTGCTTTTCAGTTTGTTTGTTTGTTTTCCAATTCCCAAAACAGCCATTTAGGATGGTGACTCAGTTCTCCTGTTCTTGAAACATACACTTGTGAGTTTTAGCTGGTGGGTGTATACATATTGCAGGGGCTCCACGTAGGAGCACAGGACAGAGCTTTGTCTGAGGCAGGCCTGGGCAGCCATTGGTACAGGGTGAGGAATCCAGATCCCAGGACCCCAGAGGTGGTGCCAAATGAGGAGGGGCCTGAAGCAACCCCATTCAGCACAGGAGCCAAGAAAACTGGGCCGCGCTGCTCAGAAGAGGACAATGCCATCGGAAATGAATCTGCTGAAATGCTTACAGGAAGCAGGGGCCATGGCCTTGGCTAAGTAAGGGTCTGACTGCCATCAGCAAGACAGGCAGTCTACTCCATTGTTGGAAGCCACATTATTCAGAGCTCAAAATTGGGCCCTGTGAGGAGACCCAGAGGAAGAATTACAATCCCTACCTGGGAGAACCACCCAGCCTGAGGAGACAGCCACATGATCTGCAATACCTGACCCGAGAACTGAACAAGCAGACTAACAAGTGTAAGCATATTTTTGAGGTTAAAGACATGGTAATATTGAGCCTGGGGGTAGAGCTCAATAATAAGAGTGCTTGCCTTACTTACTTGCATGAGTAAGGCTCTGGGTGTGATCCTCAACAGTGCCAAAAAGAGAGAGAAAAAAATACATATATAATATTTATAATCAGGATATCCCTTTAAAAAAAATAGCCAGCATCATCAACATCAACAACAGACACACAGAGGGAAAAACCCAAAGAACACACAGAAGGATAACACAAGGTAAGTCAGGACAGCTGACTTAAACATTGTCCTTATATCAAAGAGCCCTCTCTTTATTAAGAGAGACAGGCACATAGCTTCTACAAGTCTACCAATCTCAAAACCAACCAGAAAAGGGGTCGTAAAATTTTCATTCTATGCTCAGACTTAACCAAGGAAAGGCAGTACCTTTCTGTTTTTATTCACTTTCCTGTGAGGGAAATTCAAGGTCAATTCAACCTGCTAAATCCAACCATATTTGCATTTCTCCAGGTGGCTCAGTCTCTACTAGGACAGCTTAAGCTGACTTCCCAATTTCTACCTCCAACCCCAGTTCTGTGAGAATAGGTGGGTGAGTGGCATGACTAAGAAGACCTTGTAACAAGAAGAACAGACAGTGTCCACAGACCTATATGTGGCATTCTCAGGATTCCCACCAGGTTGCTCCCTGCTGCCTCCCAGCCATCACCACTGGCATCTAAATCTCTGGATACTGTGGCCCTTTGCTTCATCTTCTGCTTTTTGCTCTTTACCTTCTCAGCACCTCTGAGTTTCTCAAGGGCTTGTGAGCACATGAGGATACTTGCAAATTCTGTGCAGACATAAGGAGCCTAAGTATCACTCATAGGATGGGGAAAGACGGTGTTGAGAACTTAGATCCTTCTTGGTTTCCCTCTATCACATTAATTTTCCACAGCTCTTCAGGCTAAAACAGGTAGACTTCAGGCTTTCTACTTCCTGAAGATCATATCTACCTTTTACTCCCATTCAATAATTCTCAAGGCCAACCTATTACAGGCAAGTGTCCATTTGTCTATACCATAGAAGAACTCTGATTTAATTTACAGGCTGCTCCTCAATATGTCAAAGAGAAAGACAGAAGAAATTAGAATACCCTTTTGTCCTTTACAAAGACTGGATCTTAAGCCTTTTGTCTTGCTACTCTCTCTAAAATATGATTTTAAAGGTCAAAAGCTAAATGCTGACTTTTTCTTTTGCTCTATGTACCTGCTGTAACAACAGTCTTCCAGAGGCAGACAGGTGCCTTGAGTTGTCTAGGGGAAAGTCATAGACAAGGAAATTCAAAATGAAAAGAAAAATCTTATTGGTGGATTTTAGAATACTTTTTGGAGTTCTTCCATAAAGTTCAAAATCAACACTTCCCAACTCTTCTCCCCCGGCTTGGGCACAGATGGTTTATGCAATGATGCTTCAGTTCCAGAAACTTGGACTAGTCAAGCTTTGTCTGATGCATAAAAAAAAAAAAAAAGGTAGAGGTGCACACCAAGGAGGCTATTGATTCCCCCATTTTATACATGTGAAATCAAAGGCTCAAAAAGGCATAAGCCCATCTCCAGATTGCACAGTTTATTAAGCATCTGTTTCACTGGATGCCCTCAGGAGAAGGTGTGGCCACATGAGTGGGGTTAAGATAGAGCTAGGGTGTACAACTCTGAGAGAGAAGGGCATGGAGAGGCGCCTGCACTGGTAACAGATGCCTAGGAAGCAGGCTGTAGGGTTATTACCTTCATCTCTGCTCTGACATGTTCTAGAACACTGGCTGAAGGCAGAGGAATAAACAGAAGTTTCTGGAAAGATTTCCCCAGAATCTATGTGATTCTATGATAGAGAGAATCCTAAGCAGGACGAGGACAGGGGTGAAAGTAACAGAATTCAGGCTATATTCCAATCCTCCTTTGGGGTAGAACAGGGCTTTTCCATTTCTTCAGCAATCTGGTGGAGTCTTTCATTTCGCAGCATTGTAAACTCCTCTCCCTCCCTTTTCAGAGCTTATTGGAGGTCTGTCCTTCATGGACCCTCCTCCTCAGGAACAAGAAGTACGAGGTGGAGACAGGCTAGGTTGGGACACAAGGTCCAGCTGAGTGTGTGTTCCAGCCCAGTGCTCTCACAGAGCTCAGATCCTCATCTGCCCTGGGAGAGGGGCTCAGTGCAGACAAGCAAAAATACTGCTGCTCCCCACTGCCGCGCCCCCCCACAATGGAACCTGCACTGGAGATTATGTCCTAAGTAGAAACCCCCATCCAAACTGGGGATGTAGGGCCTGGAAACTAGAAAATGCCAGGTCTGAGAGAGAGGAAAGAACAAGCCCAGCAATACACAGAGCTCTGTGTATTCAGAGGGAAGTTGGCAGGGTTGTGTTCGGGCAGAGAAACTCCGAGTGGTACAAAGGGACGTGCCCAGAGTGGAGAAATCATGCTAATTGTCTGCACCAGAGCTGAAGAACGCCACCCAAAATGAAGAGAGAAAGGGGAGCCCTGTCCAGCGCCTCCAGGGCCCTGCACCTCGCTCCTCTTGTCTACCTACTTCTGATTCAGCCAGGTAGGAGACCCAAAGGGTAAGAAGGTCTGGAGAAGGGACCCTGGGGCTTTGAAAGGAGAGGGAGGGGAGAGTGAAGGGCCTGAATGTCTTTGGGGTGGGAGGAGGGGAGAGAGCTCAGCGGTCGTGGGAAGCATCTCAGTGAATTCAGGCATTAGTGTTGAATGTATTTCTTCACTCCCTGTGCCTCCTGCACAGCCTCGCTGGCCCGCTCCCCCCAAAGGCTGCATGACTTTGAAGCTCCCACGGCATTCAATGCATTAGATGGAGGGCACTCTGCCACTTCTTATGGGATGACTTTCTGGCGTGGGCCAGTCCAACATTCTTTCCAAGGGATTATGGTGGGGCTTAGAAGGAGGGGCAGGGGAAATCTTGGTTTTGAGCCTCCTGAAACCCCTACTCCAGCTTCTGAGTATAGAACAGCATGGAAGATGAAAGAAGCTTTGGAGATAATAAGCCTCCTGCTTCAGGATAGAAATACCAGTCTATCCATAATTCACTCCTGGCCAGACACTTACTTCCTGTAGTGCCCCCTACCATCTCCTTGGAGAATTGATCTTATTTTAAATACCGTAGATATATTTATGTGGACACACGCACACACACACAATTCCAAAGAGCCGAGGAATGCACAACTTAGTGGAGCGAACAGATGCAAAGATCATTTTAATCAAATGCAGGCAACACTGTGAGTCAGATATACAGATGATGCACAGGAATCAGAAAGGTCAGTCACTCCCATCCAGGAAGCTGGTGCTGGTGGCGCAGGATGAGGGTGGGGGAATATCATGGTGGTTTCCTGGTAGAAGGAATGTCTGCACTGAATTTTAAAGGATGAGAAAAATGGGTGGGAGTGGGAGTGGATATTATTGTAGGGAAAATGGGCAAAGGGCAATAGCTTGAAATAGCATCATGTGTTTAGGCACAGACTAGAAGTTCATCATGCTGGAGAGAAAAGTGTGAAATTAGTTAGAAAAAAAATCCTTGTACCATATTCAGAAGCCTGGAATATAATCTACAAATGATGGATTGGGCAGGGGAATTAAGTGGCTTTTAATTAAAAGATGGTTTGGGTCGTACATACCTTTCAGGTACATTACCTGATCTTCAGGGGGCATTGGAGGGGAAACTAGAAGCAAATAAGAAAGAAAGCTTATTACTAGCTTTCTATGGCAGCTATAATAAGTGCCATAAACTGAATAGATTAAACATCAGACATTCATTGTCTCAGAGTTCTGAAAATCAGAAATCGAAGATCAAGGTATTGATGGGGTGATGCTCCCACTAAATGTTATTCCACTGTAAAAGTATATCACAATTTGTTTATTTATCTATTCAGTTTGGATTTTTAGGGTTTTTGTTTTGTTTGTTTTGTTTTGGTGCCAGGGATTGAACCCAGGGGCACTTAACCACTAAGCCACATCCCCAGCCCTTTTTTTTTTTTTTTTTGAGTCAGAGTCTCACTAAGTTGCTTAAGTCCTTGCAAAATTGCTGAGACTGGCTTTGAACTTGCAATTATCCTGCTTCAGCTTCCTGAGCTGCTGAGATTACAAATTTTAATAAACACTTTGGTTGTTTCTAAACTAACCCAACCAACTCAGTCCCATTGGACTTATGAATACAGTTGTTAAAACATTCTTGTATATGTCTCTTGGTATACACATTTCTTCTAGGGATATACCTTAGAGTAGAATTATTGACTTCTAGGGTATATTAGTACATTTTCCATTACTATGACAAAATACTTGAGGCTGGGTAACTTTATAAAATGAATAGGTTGGTTTAGCTCATAGTTCCGGAATCAGTTCAGCCCTGATGAGGGCATCATTGAGTATGGGAGGATAAGGAAGGAGAGATTACATGGTGAGACAGAAAGCCAAAAAAAATGACTGGAGGTCCCATGGGAAGCGTGTTAATTCCTTTCAAGGGCACACCTCCAATTCCTAAGGATGTCCCAAAGGCTTCAATACTGCTTTAACATCACCACACTGAGGAACAAGCCTCCAAAACATGCACCTTTGAGGGAATGCTCTTCAATTATATCCAAATCATAACATAGAGTATATGTAAATTTAGCTCTAGTAGATATAGCACATTTTCAAAAGTGGTGGTATCAATTTACACTTCCTCTACATGTATGAGAGTTTAGGTGACCCATATCTTCACTAACAATAGTATTTACTTTTTTTCATTTTGACCATCCTAGTGAGTATGTTATTGGTACTTTTATGGCTTAAGATTGTGTTTCCATGGTAATTAATCAGGTTGAGATTTTTTTCATATTTTTATTACCATTTAGATATCCTTTTTGTGAGTGTCTATTTCAAATCTTTTGCACATTTTTCTATGGATTTATCTGAATTTAAAAATAAAGTTGATTTGTAGGAGTTTTAAAATACAGTTTTAGTATGAGTCCTTTTATAAGATTAATGTATTGAAAATATCTTCTGTGGTATGGCTTGATTTTTCACTTCCTAAATGGTGAAATTATATCTTTTAAAATGCTCTTAATTTTATGTGCCCAGTCTATCATTTGCTTCTTTTATTTTTGTGTCTTAAGAGATCTGAGTCTTCCCTCAAGTTATGGAGATATTCTCCTATCTTTTCTTTTTTAAATGTTGTTTTCCCTTTCACATTTAGATCTACATTCCATCTAGAATTGATATTTATATAAGATGCGATGTAATGATCAAGTTCATTTTTTTTTCTACATGGCCTAGAACTATTTATTGGGGAGGGAGGGGCTTTTCCTACTCCACAACACTGTCATAAATTGAGAGATAAATTGCCATAAATTGAGAAATAATATTTAAGTCAGTTCTCTATTCTGTTCCCTTATCTGTCTTGATGCCATATTACCAAGTAAACATCATGGGTTTTGATTAGTATTGTATTAAATTATAGAACAGTTTGGGAGACAACTTAACAATAGTGATTGTTTTAATCCACAAACATAGTAAACCTCCATGTGTTACCTTAGTACATATCAGCCAGGTACATACTCCTGGACAACTACTCTTCTTGGGGAATAGATTTAAAAAACCGTGGCCTTTCTCTTTCTCGATCTCAAAGTCCTTTTTCATAGTTTCTGTTCCTTGTATTTCTCCTACATCCCTCAGTGATTGACACGTTAAATGATTTCACATTCTTGTGGTCCCTTGTAGGCTGCAACAGGATAATGACCTAAGAATAACACAAACATTTACAAAATAAGTGATGCACCTATACAGTAATAATAGAGGAGGGAGGTTGTTATCTCAGGTCATCATTAATTAGTGAGGATATTAAAAACCAAAAGCAGAGCCTGGTACAGTGCATACACCTGTAATCCCAGCTACTGAGGGATACAGCTACATGTAATCCCAGAGCCTGAGGCAGGAGGATGGTAAGTTCAAAGACAGACTGGACAACTTAGAGAAACTCTGTCACAAAATAAAAAAATACAAAGAACTGGGCATGTAGCTCAGTGGCTACAATCCCCAGTACTGAGTGAGAAAGAGAGAGAGAGAAACAAAAAACAACATATTTTTCCTTTTAGAAGACAGAGCCATGTGCTGCCTTAGATTATTATGTGCAGTTTTGGCCCAGAACTACTACACTTTAAAAGGAAGGTAATATAGTTGGCAAGAGCCCAAGCAAGAGTATCTATGATGGCTAAAGGGTTTGAGGGACTTTGTCATGGAGAATAGACCCAAACAAAAAAATCAGGGAAAAAAAAGTAGGAACATAACTGCCGTTGTCAGTGTTAGTATGGATGAGGTGTATAGAGAACAAATCCCCACTGGCACTTTTCTTAAAAGTTAAATTTAAGACAATCGCTGGTAAAAGGAAACCAAGGGAGTCCATAAAACAGAGGAGATGTTGATTCCCGTAGGGGAAGAAGCTAAAAAGGGAACTCTGTGCAGGTACATACTTATATTTTGAAGCTTGGCACTCCTCCGTGTCACAGCAGGTCAAAATCCTACTTGAGGGGATGCCTCTGACCTAGGCCAACACAGCATTGTTTATGTTGATAGGAACAGCTTGCTGAGATGTTAATTTCCCTTTGTTCAGCCTCTGGTGGGAACGGGAGACTTTCTACATAATGATGCCTCAGAGACAATGATTGAAAGTTAATTGCTTCTACAGGTTGAATAGTTCTTGTCTCTTTTATTTCCACTCTGGATGGGAGTTGTTAGCCATTTCCTCATTTTAGTGTCCTGCTTTGGCTCTTGTCCTAGTTCTCTGTGTCCCTTGAAAGTTGTGGAACCCTGAACTTAACAGAATTTTGATTCTGGCTAGAGTTTTTGGAAAACAGTGCTTGTTCAGCAAAACAGTGTTTGTCAGCGTCTGAGAAAGACTGCTCCATTCACTTACAAATGTGTGCATGCGTCCCTTTGACTCAAGGGTACCCCCATGTTCACAAGCATATGGAGGACCCCACCTAGATGAGGGTAAGGTCTAAGGCAATCCTTAGGCTGCAGCTCCCCCTATTTTTCCCCGCCGAGAGTAAATCAAGTATAAATTGGGGGGAAAAATCAGAATTGAGGGGGGAAAAAAACATCACAAAAGGGTTCCTGGAACTTTGAAATGGGATAGAAAAATGTAGAAGCCAGGGAAACTCAAGGGAGGCCAGAGATTACAGAAGAGAGAGAAAAGTCCATTCCAGTTGTCCTTGAGACCAGGAATGTCATTGCCTGGCCTCCTGGAAGAAGGAAATAAGAAACATCAATGTTTGGTGCTTGAGATCTGTATTAGTCAGTTTTCTATTGCTATAATAAAATAAGTGAGGCTAGGTATTTTACAAAGTTCATGACTTTGGAGACAGAAAGTATAAACAGCAAGGTGCCAGCTCTGGTAGCTGCCCCTCCCCAACTATATCATATATCATAACATATCAAATCAGAGAGTATATGTAAGAGGGAGAGATCACATGGTACGAGGAGAAGCCAGAAAGTGAGGAGGAGTTAGCTTTATTCTTTTGTAACAACTATTCAGAATTAACTCAGGGTCCCACAATACCTACTTTAATCCTTTGCAAGGTCTGTACCATCAAAGAGCTATCCAACTCCCACCTATTAAAGGTTCACCACCTCTTAATACTGCCACACTGATGATGAAGTATCCAATGCATATACCCTTGTAGGACAAACTACATCCAGACCACAATGGGATCATTACACAGATTTGCTGAACTCTGGGAGGTCTCTGCACGTATAAGCCTGATGTATATACCACAATGTTTTGGACAGGGTCTTGAGTGTGGCAGGGATAGGTGCTCCTCAGCCATTTGATCACCACCACTGTGGCATTTAGTGAAGCTCCATGATTTTTCTCAGGACCACCTCAAGTCAAAAGCCTGCTTACTAAAGCCTGTTTGCCCACTCAGGGAAATATTAAAGCTTGCTTTTCCAAATCAAGCAGATCTGGGACCTCACAGTTGCTAGGCAGGGAATACCATTTAAACAATCACAGAAACTAGAAGTTGGAAGAAACATTATGGATCATGTGACCAAATATATTTCAGTCTGAGAAACAGAGCCCCAGGACTTCCTACTAGCTCCCCAAGTTATTAGGGAAGACAGAGGTCAGAGCCTCACCACCCCTTCTACCAAAGTAGGTGAGCTTGAACCATACTTCATTTATTTTCATTTTTATGTGAGATTTTGTAGGAACTTTTACAAAAAATACTTGAAAATAGTTAATTTTGTTCATTCTACTGTCCCCAAATTAAGACTTCCATTCAATAACAAGTATACAGCATTCAGATACACACATCTATGGGAGCTGTAGTCATTAGAACCTGTGAGACCATCTAGCCTACTACTCATATTACCTCTGGGGAATCTGATCCCCAAAGAGAAAGTCCCGTAGATCAATAAGCCTCAATCACTGAGGCCCAATCTTGTGTTCTCTCTACAGAACGATAAATGATACACATACTGTACTTTTATAATCTTAAGAATATGATAAGGGAGTTATTGTTATTCTTATTTTATAGAAAAGAAGAATGGAAATCTTAGAAAGATTGCTTGCCCAAATCCACACAACCAATAAGTGATTAGGGCCTAGTCTTGCAAGGTCCTTCTGATTCCAAACTCTTTTTTCTATCCAGCCAAATCCCTCCTATGTAGGGAACACAGATTGGGCCAGAGTTTGAGTGAATTCCCCAAACTACTGACCCAGTTGCAGGACTGTTCTGCACTAGAAGGTCTAGGAAGATACTCCATGTGTCTGGGGTAAGGATAGGGGAGGTTTTGGTATGACTAGGAAATGGTAATGTTGTCTTCAGGCCCTTAAGCCTCCACTTTATTGACACTGTCTTAGGATAAACTCCGTTCCTTATGAATCAATGTTCCCATGATACCTCCATCTCCCACCATCCCCCTCCCTAATCAAGAAGATCTGACAGATTCACCTTGATGTCTAATGAACTACAAACCTCATGGGGTAGGGATTTCTGTCTGTCTTGCTCTAGGCTTATCCTAAAGTCATAGGAGGTGCTCAATAAAGATTTCCTCAAATGAAGCACATGGAGTGTGAACTAGGTGGAATCTTCTTGAAGAGGAAGGCAATAAGGAAAAGTGTCAGAGAGGCAGAGGGCCAGGTGAAAGAAGAATGAAGGGCCTTGGGAGGAGCAGAGGGACACAAGAGTTCCTGCGGGAGAAGAGATGATAGTAAGAAGCAAGGACTAGCAGCGAGTGACAGTCCCAAAGGGGTGAGGCTTTGGGAGATCAGAGGGCTTCAAGGTGGGAGTGGGCTAAGTAACTGAGAGCCTTACTCTGTATTCTTCACCGTGACCTCTGTTTACAGACCCCCTGGAGGGGGTGAACATCACCAGCCCTGTGCGTCTGATCCATGGCACAGTGGGGAAGTCAGCGCTGCTTTCCGTGCAGTACAGCAGCACCAGCAGCGACAAGCCTGTAGTGAAGTGGCAACTGAAGCGGGACAAGCCTGTGACCGTGGTGCAGTCCATTGGCACAGAGGTCATTGGTACCCTACGGCCTGACTATCGAGACCGGATCCGGCTCTTTGAAAATGGCTCCCTGCTTCTCAGTGACCTGCAGCTGGCTGATGAGGGCACCTATGAAGTGGAGATCTCCATCACTGATGACACCTTCACCGGGGAGAAGACCATCAACCTCACTGTCGACGGTAAAGCATTCTGGCAGGGAAGGAGGCAGGGCAGGAGAGTGGGACTGGGGCAGCACACTAGCTAGACCCAGCAAAAACCAACACAAAAGGTCTTGAGGTGCTCAGAGAGAGCCACTGGATGTTACAAGTTAAACACAGGCACAGCTAACATGGATAGAATCCTTCTATGTGCCAGAACCTATATTAAGTGTTTTGCATGTGTCAACTCATTTAATGATTATAAAAATTTAAGGATAGTTAATGTCATTCTCCCAGATGGAGGAAACTGAGACACAGAAGGGTTGAATAACTTGCCCAAGTTAACAAAACTAATAGAGCCAAAATTTGAACCCAATTACTTGGGCTTCAGTTATTCTAATAAAATATTTTCCAGGTGGAGTCAGTTTAAGACATGAAAACCCAGTGGTTGCTACATGCAGTGGCACACATCTAGCAACCACTGGGTTTTAATCACAGCTTCTTGGGAGGCTGAGATGGGAAGATGGTAAGTTCAAGGTCAGCCTTGGCAATTTAGCAAGACCCTGTCTCAAAACAATAATATAAAGGTCTGGGGACATAGCTCAGTGGTAAAGTGCCCTTGGGCTCAATCTCAAGTATCTAAAAAGAAAAGCCAAAAACAAATACACACAAAATATCACTGGTGATGGAAATGTATTTGGAAACAGGGATAAAAGCAGACACCATAGCTACCGCATTTAGCGTTGTTTTCTCCTGGCCCTACTAGGTATCTAATAGTGAATGAATGAATGAATGAATGAATGAATGAATGATGGAAGAGAACTGGACTGATGATTCCTGAAAGGTCTACTTAGCCCATAGAATGAGTTATGGTATGATGTGTTGGAAGACAGAGAGTATAGAAGGAAAACGGAAAAACTTTTTAACCCATTACTGTTTCCTCCACCTTTTGGGGCTCAGTGCCCATTTCAAGGCCACAGGTGTTAGTGGCTTCAACCACTGTGCTGGAGCTCAGTGAAGCCTTCACCCTGAACTGCTCCCACGAGAATGGCACCAAGCCCAGCTACACCTGGCTGAAGGATGGCAAGCCTCTCCTCAATGACTCGAGAATGCTCCTGTCCCCCGACCAGAAGGTGCTCACTATCACCCGAGTGCTCATGGAGGATGACGACCTGTACAGCTGTGTGGTGGAGAACCCCATCAGCCAGGTCCGCAGTCTGCCTGTCAAGATCACCGTGTACAGTGAGTCTCTCTGCCCCCCAGAGGCAGGTGTCCACTGACAAAGAACATCCTAGAGAGTGATCCTGGAGGGAGAGAGAGGGAGCAGAGATTGGGTCAGCTATCCATGGAGAACAACAACAGGTGGGAAGAGGGCTCTATGCAAGTACCACTACCAGCTAATCATGCTACCTGTGGGTCCATCTCTTTTCCTTCCACTGCTCTCTGTACCACATCTGCTGCCCCTCTGAAGTCTCTCCTCTTCTCTCTACACATAGGAAGAAGCTCCCTGTATATCATCTTGTCTACAGGCGGCATCTTCCTCCTTGTGACATTGGTGACAGTCTGTGCCTGCTGGAAACCTTCCAAAAAGTCTAGGTAACTCTTCAAGTTCCACACCCTGAGCTCCCTGGTCCGTTAGTCCATTCCAACCTCAAGCTCTATTATTTATGTAATAATAATAATTATTATTGGGTGAATTTCCCAAACTACTGACACAATTGCAGGACTGTTCTGCACTGGAAGGTCTAGGAAGATACTCCATACCTCTGGGATAAGGATAGGGGAGGTTTTGATATGACTAGGAAATGGTAATGTATAATAATAATAATAGTATTATTATTATTATTATTATTGGGATTGAACCCAGGGGCACTGAATCATTGAGCCACTTCCCCAGCCCTACTTTTATTTTTTATTCTGGAGAGGCCACTGCTCCCTGCCTATTTTCTTAAGTCTGTCTACATGCCTTGCCTACCAGGATTGTGCACCTCTTCCCAGGAGATGTGCTCTTCTATTATGCATGAATCTGCATCTTGTGCTCACCACTTCTGACCACCCAGCACTATTCACAATAGTTTCACTTGCTGAGCACCTTCTTTGGGCCAGGCACTATGGCTGGTATTAGCAAGCTACCTTTTTAAGTTTAATTACCTACAGTTTACAGATAAAGATACTGAGACTCAGACTGGACTAATGGCTTGCCTAGTCAGAATGCTAGTGACAGCCTCAAGATGCAAATCTAGCTGTGACCCATTTAAAAGCTCATGGACTGGGCTGGGGATGTGGCTCAACTGGTAGCGCGCTTGCCTGGAGTGCTTGCGGTCCGGGTTCGATCCTCAGCACCACGTACCAACAAAGATGTTGTGTTCACCGAGAACTAAAAAATAAATATTAAAAATTAAAAAAAAAAAAAAAGCTCATGGACTGCCTCCTATTCCCACAACACCCATTTTCCGGTCATAAGGTTTCTTTCATGGCCTTCAGAACCATCTTTTGGTACTCCCCATATTTTCCTGCTCCTATTCAATACCTCTGTTTTTGGTGGGGGTTGGACTGCTTCATAGGAAGAAGAGGAAGTTGGAAAAGCAAAACTCCCTGGAATACATGGATCAGAATGATGACCGCCTAAAACCAGAAGGTGAGTTCCTAGCCACTCACTAACCAATGCCATTGGCACTCAGAGCAGTAGGGTGCTGGGAAAAGACAGAAATGGGCAACAAGAAGCCAGCTCTGCACCACTTCCTCCACCAACTGCTCCAAGACTTCAGAGTAGGAAGAGGCACAGCCAAGGTAGGACCCCAAGTATTCAGATATGTTGGTGGAGGTTGTGGTGGGTCTTGACTAGCCACAAGGAGCAAAGAGCATAGGTGCAGGCTGGTGGAGAGAGTCTGTACCTGGACAGCCACCCCATTCTTTCCCCTGTGCAGCAGACACCCTCCCACGAAGTGGAGAACAGGAACGGAAAAACCCCATGGCCCTCTATATTCTGAAGGACAAGGTGAGCAGCTCTGGGGTGGTTGCCCCATCCCATGCAGTGAACTCCTACCACATTCTCGAGATCCTTACCATATTCATATACCTTTATAGTACTTGGAATACTTGTAAAATCTTTGTGTCATGCCTGTTCTAGAGATTGAAAAATAAGGCTGAACTGGGTGAAATGATGTACATAGTATTAAACAAGTAAATTAAGTAGGAACTATAGATTTCAAACCTAGGTCTTTGGACACCACTTCTGGAGATTCCCCCATTATTCCACGACTACGACCCAGGCTGTCCAAGGCAGATGGAAAGGGACACAGCATTCAGACACGTCAACATTTCCTGAGCACCTATGATGTGCCAGATCCCATGCTAATTGTGATGTGTTCCAAGAAAAACCAAATCATGTATGCCGCCTTCCAGGGATTAGGGGTGTGGAGGAAACTGGGACTCCATCTCGGTAGCCCCAAGCCCTCTTAACTCCCAGATTGGGCCGGCTGTACTCTGACTCCTGCAGCGCGTGTCCTTGCAGGACTCCCCGGAGCCCGAGGAGACTCCCTCTCCAGAGCCTCGGAGCGCGACAGAACCCGGCCCTCCGGGTTATTCGGTGTCGCCTCCTGTGCCGGGCCGCTCGCCAGGGATGCCCATCCGCTCAGCCCGCCGCTACCCGCGCTCCCCAGCGCGCTCCCCGGCCGCGGGCCGAACACACTCGTCGCCACCGCGGGCTCCTAGCTCGCCGGGCCGCTCGCGCAGCGCCTCGCGCACTTTAAGGACTGCGGGAGTGCACATAATCCGCGAGCAAGACGAGTCCGGCCAGGTGGAGATCAGCGCCTGAGCCCCCCAGGGACCTCGGCAACGCGTCCTGCCCCTGAAGCTTACTGCCTGGGGTGCGGGGCCGGGAAGCCCAGGTGCCCTGGGCCAGGGCAAAAGGGAAGGCTGGGCGGGGAGGCAGGTGTACTGGGTGCGGAGGTACGTGAGCATGCGCAGATGGGGGTTGGTCGGCGCAGAACGGGGAAGGTTGATCTGAGGGTGAAACTCGGTTGCGTTTTCTCTGGATTTACTGGCTGTGTTCTCAGTGGGTGTGAGTTGTGCCCTCTTAGGACCATATAGATAAATTACATTTCTGGCCCAATCCCCGAAAGGGTCTTATGAAAACTAACAACAGTAACCTAACCCTCACGACTGTCCTGTGCTATTTCTAGGGAGATCTTTTGATTTCCACCCACCTCCCTTTCCTCCAAAAGAGCGCCTGAAGGCGCGCTTTTTTTTTTTTCTTCCCAAAATGCACGACAGTCCTTAATTAAGAAGTCCGATGGGGGGCAGGGAGTCTGATGGTGGTTCCTGGTGTGTACAAGAGCAACTCCGAGCACGGAGGAAGCATTGCAAAGGTAGCATCTTAGAGCACGGCCTCTGGGTGCCTGATTCCTGGGTCCCTGAAGTTGGTGAGGAAGAGTGGAGGAGTATACTCCTTTGACCCCGGACCTGAGGCTTAGTAAAGGCAAAGCACTCAAGCCTCGCGTGCTTGGCCTCTTTCCAAACCTCCCTCAGCAGAATGCCATGCCAAACATTCTTTCTGTTCTTGTTCATGAAAATAGGAGACGGGTGGGTTCATTCCTATAGATAAGTACATGCCCACTCCTCTGACCCAGTAGCTATATGAAGTGGGGTTTTTAACACTTCACACTCCGCCTTCTGCCTGACTTCGTTACAAAACAAGCCTTTCAAACAATCATCATCCAGGAAGGTTCTTGAGCTCCCTCCAACTATTAGAGAATAAGATTCTTATCTACAGAAAAAAAAAAAAAAACGGGGCAGGGAGGAGGTGAGGAGGGGTGAAGAGGAGAAGCTTGTTGCTTCCCAGCATGTCAGAGCAACAGCGATCCAATTCTTGTCCTGCCCTGCCTACCTGGCTCCCAGATGCTCAGATCCCAGTCACTGGACAAGACAAACCCCTTAATCATACTAACATCTGAATATGGAGAAGCTGAGCCACTGTGTAGCCAGGCCGTGCCCAGGCCACTGCCTCTTAGAACCGTTTGAGAGAGAGAGACAATAATAATCTAGTGTGTGAGGAGAGAAGACAGTGAAAAAGTTGAAAGAGAAGGAGGCATTCTCCTGGGTATTCCGCCTTCTCCTCCCTAACGACCCGAGGGGCTCTAGCGTCTTCTGCCCCTTCCAACTCCTAAAATCCAGCTCTGACTCTCCACCATCCCAGTCCCAAGACCCCTATACCCAAGACCTTCACCCAGGGGCACACTTTGCCCTAGCCCCAAGGGCAATAAGATTTCTTGTTCCCCACTTCTCACCTCAACAAGGTTCCTCTTAGTTTCCTGTATCTGTGCACTTCCCCAGGCTCATGTGAGCAGGTGTATCTTTGCAGCTTCCCTTAGCCAGAACCCATCCCTTTACCTTCCCCAGTGCCTCATCCATCATGAGATAATGCATGTAGAGGAAAATTGCTTAGGTAGGTGGGAAATGCAAGACTTGAAGAAGCGGGTACCTGCTGGTCAGCCTTGAGACACAGGGATGGAGGTTAGGATGGGATGAGAGCACACCACACCCTGGTGCTGAATCCTTGAGGGGCCGGCTTGCCAGTCTCAAGCCAAATCTGCCTTAAATTGGGAGGGGGATAAGTAAGGAAGTATTTTTTGTTTGTTTGTTTTTGTGTTTGTGTTTTGTTTTGATCTTCATCTTTGTATTACTAGCATCTAGCAGAGTGCCTAGCACATACTGGATGCTCAATAAACTTTTGATGAAATGACTTTATTCTGCGTAATTAAGAACAAAATGAATAATATATATTTCCTTTTTCTCTTTTCTTCTCTTTCATCATCCTTTACCCTCTTTTTAAATCCCCAATTATCTACTTCAAAATTATCACTCATTCTTTCATTCATGTGTTTTTCATTTATTCAACAAATATTTATTTATCTAGCTTGGACTAGACCCTGTACTACAGAGTAGAGCAAAATGGCATAACTATGCCATGGCCTTTACCCATAAGAAAATCTCATGGAGGAAGACAGATAAGAAAGTAGATTATTATAATAAAGTGTGTAAGATGCAATGACACAAGGGGATCCAAGTTGCTCTGGAAACATGGGAAGGTCATCCTACCCACATTAGGTGTTGTCAGCAAAGGTATCTTGGAGAAAAACAAGTCTGAGCTTAGTCTTAAAAGGATTAGTTAGCCAGTCAGGTTAATAAAAAGGATGAGAGGACACATTTCAAACAAAGGGGGAAGCAAATATAAAAGCTTGGGAAATTGTCTGGTTGTGCATACCTGTAATCACAGTGACATAGGAGGCTGAGGCAGGAAGATCTAAATTTGAGGCCAATCTCAACTTAGTGAGACTCAGTCTCAAAATAAAAAATAAAAAGGACTAGTACCGAAAAGGGTAAAAAGTTGTCGGGGTGGGGGCGGGTGGTGGAATAAGACACATGGAGAATTTAGGGTACTAAGCCGTGGCAGTGGATAAGATTCTTTTATGAAGCTATGTAAAGTGGAAAGTGAGGAAGGCTGAATATATTCCTCTAAACACATCATATGTGAAGATGTTAAAAGGACCTCACCAATGAGGCTAAAAAGACATAGCCCCTGAAATAAGAGGAAATATAGGAGATAGTGGCATCACACAATCAAAGAAGAGGGTTTCCAGAAAGAAGGAGCATCCAGGACTGCAGAGTCGGGGGAGGAGGGTCGCATATGAAAAGGAATTAAAAGTGTTCACTTTAGGAGGAAGGGATATAGCTAACCGGTAGAGTTCTTGCCCAGCATGCAGGAGGCCCCTAGTTTGGTTCCCATCACCACAGACACACACATTAAAATTACCACATTAAATTTGTCAGCAAGGGGATCATTGATCAATTTAGCAGTTTGATCAATTGATCAATAAGTAGTTTCAGTCATGTAGTGGGAGTTAGAACTAGATTGCAATAGGTGAGAAGTGATCGATATGCGGTTCTGCTAAATACCTGAGAGGTCTTTCTGTTTCAAGGTCTTGATTACACTAAATTTGTTTGTATTATTGACCTTTGAGAGATGGGAGAAATTTCCCAAAGGCCAGAAATAAAACAAAATTAAGAAGTACAGCAAGTTCAGAGTACTTTGTATTTATAAAATGTGGGATTCAGGGGCTGGAATTGTGGCTCAGTGGTAGAACGCTTGCCTCTCAGCACCACATAAAAATAAATGAATAAAATAAAGGTCTATCAACAACTAAGAAATAAGATAAATAAATATTTTTAAATGAGGGATTTACCTGGGGAATATGTTCATATTGTTATTGGAATGGAAGACTAGACTTTAGCAATAGCAAGATGGCAAAGCAGTTGGGTTTTTTTAATTTTTTTTTTTTTTATGGTAGTGGTGGTGCTGGGAATTGAGCACAGCGCTTCAAACATGCCAGATAAATGCTCTACCACTTAGCCACATTCCCTGCAGTATAATGGCAAGGTGGGAGAATCAAACTAAGTCTCCTAGATTAAGTTGGAATCCAAAAAGGGGTCCCTAGTTGGCATCATCTCACATTCTTAACAAATAAAAATACACACCCTCCCTGAAGAAAAACTCGTAAAATTTTCACACATTAAGACCAACCAAAAATAAATTACAAGTAAAGGTCATTAAACACACAAGGAAACAAATCACTATGAATGAGCATCAGAAGATATAAGAGGCAATAGATTTAAATGGCTGAAGCCTTGAGATATTGAAATTATCAGAAAAACTAATTATGGAATACTTAAAGAAATAGAAGACAAAATTACAAAAAAAAATGAACAAGCAATAAGATACTATAAAAAGTGATCAAATTTGAAAAGGAATAATAATGAACCTTTATAAATTAAAATATAAATAATGAAATACGAATGTAACTGAAAAGGTTATATAGCACATTTAGCTGTATTTTATAAATGTGACTAAAGAGAGGTGAGTTAACTAGAATGAGTCTGAAGAAATTATTCAGAATAAGGCACACAGAGACAAGGAAATAAAAAATACTTTTAGAAAGGGGTTAAGGGTATTGTATGTATAATGAAAAAGTGGTACATTTAATCAAGACCTCCAAGGAGGAAACAGAAATAATGAAAGGAAGGCTATATTTTAAATTTAGTGAATGAAAATTTGCTAGAACTCATAACAAACAAAAATACATACACAGGAAGGTTAACAAACAAGAAATATAAAATGATGTCTACATCTACACAACATGTACTAAAACTAGGTTATATTAAACACAAAAAGAAAAATCTTAAACAGAAAAGTGGATCTTGTACATTTAGAGGACAATAATGGTGAAAATCATCAGGAAGTAAAATAGTCATCAGGAAGAAGAAAGTAAAATAGTCATCAGGAAGAATAATATCTTCAAAGCAAAAATAACTGGTATTGTACTAACAAAACAAATTTTCAAATGTGAGAATAAAAATAAAATAAAGATAATATTTTAAAAATAGGAGTTTATATTAACAGTATAAGAAATTCTTAGATATATGACAAGAACAAGAAAAATATTACAAAAGAAAGGTTTGGGCCCGCCACACTGAGGCCAGGAGTTCTGGAAGAGAGGCCTGCCCACTACACCGGCTGCCCAGAGATCCAGAGAAGAGGCCCACCTTCCCCCCAGAGATATTTGGTGAGCCACCCCACACTGGGATTCCTTATTCACCACAGCATGGCTCCACAGCCCAACATCAAGGTATGTATAGGCTTGAGGCTGCCACTGCCACGAAACTGGGATATCACTGCTTCTATCAAGGGACAACAATAAAGAGGTGGTAAGATGTCACCAAGGTACCTATGGGCCTGGCTGCACCAGAGATTTCTCTACTAGAGGTACTAACAGTTATTCTGTTGCTGAGAAACAGGGAGTCTTGCATGAGGTTGCCTATCTCTTGTTTCTCCCACTAACAGCCAACTTCTTATGATTACCCTCTCACTACTCGTATAATCGAATATCTCCATGTTCTCACATTCTACCTCATAAACATCTCAGCCAACCCTCCAGAGCCCCTTCTACCATTAGAAACTGTACCATTACACAAACCTATTAACTATATGGTAGAAGATAACTGAACTCATCATTTCTGATTATAGTGATGAAACTGTAAATGTAAAAATAGAAGCTAACTGATACATGGCTGCACACTGGGTACATTGAATGCTGTAATATTGATCTCTCCCTTAAAAGTGAGGTATTGGTAACTTATAGGGACACCATAACACAATAGAGCAGAAACTGTAATACCTTGGATCTACAATGCAAGAGAGAAAGACTCATAGACATCATGAAAAAACAAGGGAGAAAAGTGCCCCAAAACAAACCAAGATACTACAATAATAGAATCCATAGATAGCTCAGTAGGTGAAATAGAGAAGGAGTTCAGAATATACATAATTAAAATGATTTTGGAATTAAAGAACAACCTAAGTGAGCAGATACAGGCAAAAATCAATCATTCTAACAAAGAGATAAGAGAACAAATACAGGGTTGCAAGAGATTACTTCAAGAAAGAGATAGAGATAGAGCAAACAAACAAAAAACCCCAGAAATTCTTGAAATGAAAGAAACAAAAGACAATTTAAAAACTCAACAGATAGCATCACCAACAGACTAGATCACTTGGAAGTCAGGACCTTAGACAATGAAGACAAAATATACAATCTTGAAAATAAAGTTGACCTCACAGTGAAGATGGTAAGAAACCATGAACAGAACATCCAAGAATTATGGGATACCATCAAAAGACCATATTTAAGATTTATTGGGATAGAGGAAGGTTCATAGATTCAAACCAAAGGAAAGCACAATCTCTTCAATGAAATAATAGCAAAAATTTCCCAAGCATGAAGAATGAACTGGAAAATCAAATAGAAGAGGCCTATAGGACACCAAATGTACAAAATTACAACAGATCTACATCAAGACATATTATAATGAAAATGCCTAGCATACAGAATAAGGATAGAATTTTAAAGGCCATAAGAGAGAAAAATCAGATTACCTGTAAAGGAAGACCAATTTGAATCACAGCAGATTTTCAACCTAGACTCTCAAAGCTAGGAGATCCTGGAACAACATACACCAACCTCTAAAAGATAATGGATGCCAACTAAGAATCTTACATCCAGCAAAATTAAGCTTCAAATTTGATGATGAAATAAAAACCTTCCATGACAAACAAAAGCTAAAAGAATTTACAGCAAGAAAGCCTGCCCTACAGAACATTCTTGGCAAAATATTCCACGAGGAGGAAATGAAAAACAACAATGAAAAGCTGCAAAGGGAAGAACTTCAATAAATGAAAACCCAATCAAAGGAGAAACCAAGTCAAGCTAAATGCCAAAAATAAATAAAAATGACTGGTAACACAATTCATGTCTCTTTCAACTCTTTTGGATAAAATTTTACACATAAAAATTTTAACTACAATATCATCTAATTTTTTTTAGGTTTTTGTTTATTTTGTATTTTTGTTTTCTATTTCTCTTTACAAAGTTACACAAATATTTTCTTTAAAAGTTTTAGCATTTTATACATTATATTTTAATACATAATTAATCTGATATGTATACATACATTGCCTGTGATATGAGATGAGGTATATCTTACTTTCTTATAATTAAAAATCCTTTATTCAAGATTTAAAGATTAAAAAGATCAATCAGAGTAAAAATTGTTTAATAAGGTATTTATAAAGGTAAGGGCAAGGTTGAGGGAAACTAACAAATTTTGTGAAGCACCTTTCCTCTATAAA